TGCGGAGTGATTGGCTCTAAAGTTGCATTTTGTAAAGAACATATTTTTGTGTCTTGATTTTATTGTTTATTTGTTTTCTTTCAAACTGAAATTCTCTGCCTTTTGATGAGTAGATTTTATCCATTCACATTCATTGTGATAAGTGATAATAACACATCCTATTTCATGTTTTCTGCTAATCAAGATGTCTTTTTATTTCTTGTTTCCTTCTTGTCTACATTTATATCAAATTATCAATTATTTTCTCTGGGCTCTAACATTATACAATCAATTTTTAGTCCCTGCTGCTTGAACCTAATCGATTAAAGTGTATTCCTGTTTCATCACCCCCTCCATTTATTTCTTAAGTTTGTGGATGTGTACAGTCTCTCCCTCATCAAGACAAGTAATTACCTACTCATTTTCTTATTTCTACTTTTCACCTTCATCCTCAATGGTATCATCTAAAATTATTTACAGTTAGATTACTATGTAGGCAATTGGTGTCACTTTGCCTCACTATCTCTTATTCTCTTATGTTTATTAAGAAGATAATAAATTCCAAAGTAAATTATTTTTAGTCTTCCTTTATGTCTTGAAGCATCTTCCTAGAATTTTCTTTTTGCTGAAATACTTTCCCTGTGGTCTTTTATACTTACAATCCACTTTATTTGGGGCTCATTTACATAATATGTAGGTAAAATGTAAAATCCTAGATTCAAAGTTTTATATTTTACAAATTAAAACATTATTACATTTTCTTCATGTAGATTGTGCTTCTTCTGGCAAGTCAGATGTATTTATTGAATCATTATTTGTTGAGAGGCCACAACATGCCAGGCACTGCTTTTGACACTAGGGATCCAATTTTTCAAAAATTGTGATCTGTTTACAGGTGACTTATATTTTTTTCTCTGGAAAGCTTTAGAATTTATTTTTTATTTATGTTATTAGACCTCACTATAATGTGTGATGTCTTTTAATAATTTTCTTGTTCAACTCTCAATGAGCATTTTCATATAAAGGTCTCTGACTTCTCTTATTTCTCTATAATTCTTGGTTATTGTTTTTAAAAATGTCTTTTTCACTGTTTTATTTTCCTTCCATAATTCTAATTATATAAAATTTAGTCAGTCTCCATATTGCTAATATTCTTTCTCCATTTTCAGCTTTTTTCTTTTCTTGGGGGGTGGTACTGAGGTTTGAATTCAGGGGCACTTAACCACTGAACCACATCCCCACCCCTTTTAAAATTTTTATTTAGGGACAGGGTCTCACTGAATTGTTTAGGACCTTGCTAAGTTGCTGAGGCTGGCTTTGAACTTAGGATCCTCCTGCCTTGACCTCCTGAGCCACTGGGATTATAGGTGTGCACCACTGTGCGCAATCATTTTCAACTTTTCATCCCTTCTTTCTTCTAAGGAAGAATATAGTTCCTTGACCTCATATTCTAGCTTTGTAATTCACTCCAGGAATTTCTCACACTTGCTTCAACACACCAGGAAAGGTGAGTTGTTCGTATATATGATGAATTGTATGTATACATGGGGGAGCAATGAATTATTCCCTATTTACATAATCTATAGTACTAAAATTTGGGCAATATAACTCTCCATTTATCAGCA